ATCACATAATGAAAAAGATTATAGGATTATACAGAAATTTATCTCATTTTGTTTAAATTGAAAGTCGAAGCTAAAGCATTTTTATGTGTTTTTTATTTATCTATATGAAAGGTGAAAAGCTTTGATTTACACCTATATCATTTCTGTTTAGCATTGGTAGTCAAGTTGTACAAATTATTTCAGAAAGTCTTTATAGTTGAGCACATGATCTATGTTTAATTAAAAGATACACCCTCCACAGACCAGAGAGATATATTATTTTGAGAATTTAAAGACATTTGGCAGTTCACCCAAATGATTGCTATTAATGGCAATAACAACACTCAACAGACTTTAAATATATCTTAATTTGTATACATTATAGTGTCTCATTTTCTGTTTTAAGCAACTCATCTCTGAATATTATCGTGATTATTTTAAAAACCCCTGTAAACCTCATCTCCACTTCCCACTTTCAGCATTTCTCTTTTTCCAATTTCTGGCTTTTCCCCAACTCTTACCAATCGATTTCCCTATTTGTCATTGGCTCACATACACTCCTCAGCTGGCATTCGAGCCCGAACACACTCACAGATGCAAAAATAACGCCAGAACAGGGCTATATCTCACACTCTGTTGGCCATAACCGTAACCGTAACTGTGGCAAGACAATCGAAGCGACGCGATGGCGAGATGCATGTCCTCGATGGGGTGAGGGGAAAAGGGGAAAAGTACATTTTCTCATAGTGTGGCACCAATAAATTACGTCAGAGTTCTGTTTTGCTTGTGTGCACGTGGCAGTGCATACAAATGTGCTAATTTATAAGGAAAACAATTAGTTTCTTGCTGCTATTGTTTTTGCCAATGCAATCAAACTGGTTTCAGCGAGCAAAAGGAGGCAAACCCAGAACACGCATATGTATGTATGTATTTTCCGCCATCCAACTGTCAGCCAAGGAAAGTAATTTTCATTAGTGAGCGGTCCTGCCAAGGGTGTGTGTGCAATTATTTAGTTGACATTGCGTATACGTCATTTTGTGCCCTTCCCTTTTGTTTATTTCACCCAGTACAGTGCACAATACATAGTATGAGTATGACTTTGGTTAGTCACTCTGCGGTTACCATATGCAAACCTCAATTATGGCCAGGAAATGTTTGGATATGGTGAAAAGTAAGGCGGTTCCAAGGAAGTTTACTATGCCATTTGTCTTGAAGAAGAGAAAGTTATGACTTGAGGGGTTTCATAATTAATCAGAAGTTGGCAGAAACAATGGGAAATGGTAAAGCAAGAGGTTCGGAGAGTAGAATTTGTATTGTTCTTTGAGAGAAAGTTAAAGCTTAAAGTACTCCTTAACAGATTAGTACAGAAAGTAACTATGAACATAAACCCTAGTATCAATATTGTTAGAATCTAATCTTAATCTATCTTAAAAATTCTAAGACATTTTTATTATCTTTCCTGCCACTTAACCTCTTGACTTAAGCAAACCTCTTCATAAGTACAATAGACACATCACATTCCACCTAAGCCCAAGCTTACTATTAAAGTCAGACAAAACTGGACATAACTTTGCCCCTGTCGTCTTTAATGTAACTTTTGGTGATAACTGTACCTTTGCAGTCGCTTGTTAGCTTCAAATTTGTATCTTGGGTGTTCATAAGCCGGCATCTGTCAGCTGAATCGATGTCTGGCAGAAACTTGAACTGAATCCATGTTGTTTCAACCACAATGTTCTTGGACAGATATTGCCCGATGGCCATAAAGAGCAGCCACCCTTAACTGGGGACCCGCCCAGGCAATTGCTTGGGTCAGGTGAACTGCAATTGGCAGGCATCTTCTATACATAGAGGAGCAGCTGATATAACACACACAAGCTCCAGCCGAGAGCAATGAGGCAACATTACGTATACGCCATGCGTGACAACACTTTCTGATGTCGTTGCTATTGCTAGTTTCTTGGCAAATTGACACATGAAAACTAAAATTCTGTTAACTATTCTCACAGGTTGTGTTTATTACACTGGCGTACATAGAATTACTTTTATAACAAAGGTACTCTCTCGATTTTTTCATCATTTAATGGTGTTAATTGCATACAGGGACAGCAAGTTTTTGCTATTATTTTTAATTAGGTTTATATTATGTACAGATTATTACTTTAATAGTTGATTATCAGAATCAATAGTTCAGATGACAGGAATTTGCTTACAATTTGATATCCTGCAATATTTTTAAGACTTATTTTTATCCTAGTCTTATAGGATACTTGCTCGATCAAGTGTCAATTTTGTTGCATAGTGTTATTACACCCCTTTTACGGCCACAGTGGCAGCGAGTTAAGAATATTCCATAGAGGCAAGGCAACAAAAGCCGAAGGAAGAAATATTTCCTGGTGTCACGTGCAGCGCTTAGCAAAATCCTGTACAGGATAAAGGATAACATTTTGGCTTCTGGCTTTCGGACATTGTCAGGCGGAAACAACATTGTGTATGTGAAGAAGCTTTTCGCTTCATTTAACTCTGGGCTGAAGCCCATGTATACGCTTAGTATTTTTATTATTTTCGTATGCCCAGAGATAAGGAAAGTCTGAGCTGAGCTGAGCTCCCAGGGGAGGCAGAGTGCTGCGTGCTGTCGTCTACTTATTTATGACATTTATGCAACATTATGTGTGCAGCACACGACTCTGTTGAGGCCCCACCCCGTCGATTTTTGAAAATTAATATATATATATGAATATGTGTGTGTCGGTGGAAAACCACAGCCGATTTAGTCTTTGGTGTGTTGTGTGTGTTTATGTTTATAAATATGTGAAAAGAGTGCTTGGCTAGAGTTTCAATGAAACCCCGGGGGATAGTTGTTATGCATCAGAGTGGGGCAGCATTTATGTAGCATGCTTTTAAGAGAAAACTTATTACGAAACTTTTGAGACTCTTTAGGTATTTAAATTTATATTTTAGGAAATTGAAAATTAAGGAACTCTAAGTTTAAGGAACTTTAAATTACCAATAATACACACATTCTATTTCATAAAAATTCCCTTCTAGTGTTCATACCCTTCCCGAAATTCAATAAACAAAAGAGAAAATAGAAAACATCTTTAAAAAGAATTCAACTTGAAATTGCCAATTCTTTTACTGGCTTCCAATCACGTATAATCGTAAACCGGTTGGGCATTAAAAATAATAAAGTATTCAAATGGCAATCAATTGGCGTATAAAATCGAGAACCAAGACCCAGACTAAACTAAAAGCGACTACAAAATATATAAAGGGAGGAAAAACAAAACGCTTTCGATGCCCACAACAAAGTACCAAAAGTTGTCCCTTTTATGCCTCATAAAAGCCAACTTTAAGAGCGGGTTATAAAGGCCAGCTTCGACACAGAGACCGAGACCGGCTAAAGGCCAGGCCAACCCTTTGGCCCCCCTTTTGACCTTTTCAATCTGCGCACCAACACGCACAATAAACCGAAACACTTTCGCAGTGAATCATTCGCTCGGGGAACTGATTTTGGGGACTGTCGCCACTATATTGGATCCCTCGGCCTGTCAATTAGTAGGTAGTGTGTGTCCATGCACATAAATATCAATTGTTTTGACATTAACCGACGAAATAATTAATCACACGATATTAACTTGTCTGGTGCGTGCACAGGTTCATTTACCTTGGCAATATTAAGGCTTAAATGTAACTCCGACTCAACATTTTTCCAACAATCATTCTGTAGATTTTATTATTTCTGGTTGTCACCCGCCCGAAAAGTTTCCAAGATAAAAGAAATTTGAGCGAAAACTCCAGCGTAACTTTAATAGAAAAATATGTCAAGGATGTCAGGATGGAAGATGGACTTATTCCTTTGGACGCAAAATTAAATTAAACTTCTGAGCTGAACAAAAAGGATTTGTTATTTGAATGCTTAACTTATTTGTGGCAGCCATAAAACAAAAGCCAAAGAGCCAACATTTTTTGTTTGCGGCCGGGATTTAACCCACAAATTCCGAACCGTGCGAAATGGCGTTGAAAAATGAAAATTGTTTTCCCCCAAAAATGCGACCAAGTCCACGTGCAGAGCCTAATAAAACCAATTTGCCTCTGCCAACAGAGAAGAATCCTACACAAAAAATATGAATGAGGTTTATATTGTAAACAAGCTGGGAAAATACGCTACACAATAAATAAAAGAAATTTTCTGAAATATGTTGAATCCGCCTGGCACAGCCGAAAACAATAAATTCAATTAACTTGCCCCTCTTGTTGTTCCCCTTTTTTTTGGAGGGGGAAAAGGATGGTGTTTGTGTTCCACTCTGATGGCAAAACATTATCATGCCGTTATCCTTTTCATTCTTTTACGTCCTCGACATAAAACTGAAAGCTTACTTAACGCCATTTTATGCGGAGCAAAAATGTTGTGAAGAAACAACAAAAAAAAAAAGGAAACAGAAAAAGCTACACAAAAGCAAATTAATTTGCTTAATTGTCAGATAACATTTTTTGTGATATTTTTTCTTGGCTTTTAAGGGCAGTGTTTGTTCAACAATTTAATTGGATTTCATATTTTTAGGCTTCCGTAATGAGTTTTAAAATTATATTAGAATTGTGTATATTATTAATGAAAGAAAGTTTTACAAATATACTAGGAAAATAGGTTTATATTTGTAGATTTAATTCAATTCAATTCAAATTAAATATATAGTATGGTAACCATTAGCTAACATGTTTCATTTATTACAAATTTTAATTACGTATACGCAATGTTGCCTCTGAACTAACAAGTGTCATATAACGACAAAAAATAAATAAGCAAATGCACATGAATAAATGAATGAAATAAATGTCATGCCAAGCCATTTAGCCCAATAAAAATCAACACAATTTCTGTCGTTTTTCATTTTTAAATCTCCAAATATTTTGGCTTGCCCACTAAGCTCCCCCGGCTTAAATCTTTTGCTGTAAAATATTTTTACCATAATTTTCCAAACGTTGGCTGGAGTTTTAAACATATTTTTCATTTCTATTTGCAGATGCCTGTCATCCATACGAGCCCTTTAAGTGCCCCGGCGATGGTAATTGCATTTCCATCCAATATTTATGCGATGGTGCACCCGATTGCTCCGACGGATACGACGAGGACATGCGTCTCTGCACCGCGGGTAAGTCATCATCATCCTTCTAACTCATGGAATGCCTTTGAAACCGGGATTCTAATTGATTGCCCAACATTTGCCCATAAATAATTCGGTTTAGCTAGCTCCATTGATGTATAGACGTCTGGTAAATGGGAATTGTGTCTCAAAATTATCCGGAAATTAGCCAACATATTCAAGGCCAGAATTGAAATTAATGCGGCCCAGAATAGGATCGAAAAACTTTATCCTGCTGCACATTTTGTTACATTTTGCACCAGCTGGCAAACTAATCGAATTAGTCCAAGCTGCACATAAGTTTTTTAAACTAAATCTGAGAAACTTTCGCTCCCAGATCGCTGTTCGTCAACTGAGGTTTTTTTTGGCCAAGTTTCAAGTGGAAAGGAAATGAGCTCGCTGTCAAAAGCTGGCCAACAAAAGTTGCACAAGAAATCTTATTAAAGTTTTGCACAGATTTTTGGCCAAGCAAGGCTTTTAACCATGAAAGATGAAAGATATTTAAAGTTTTTAAAGGCACTCATTTTAAAACAAGGAAAGGATATTATGATCTTTCTGGAATTATATTCTTTTATGTTTGAATATTTAAAATAAATATTATACATTACTGTATTAATAAAAAGTCATGAGAATCATCTTGTTTTTCATTTAGCTTTATAATTAAATTAGTTCTTTTGATATTAAAACACGTAAAAGGCATCAATAAAATTACATACTCCACAAATCAAATCAACTTAAATAGTTATCTCGTCCTTGCCTTATTTTATCAATTGAATTTCCCCTTTTTAGTCATTTACCTAGAACACAAGAAGCACTTGATTGCAATCACCAAAGTAATTGCCGTAAATTGAAAAGCAATTAAAAGAAAATATCAAATGAATAATTTCATAATCGATACATACTGCCTTACTTAATTTGTATATATATATATAAATTATATATAAATCAGATGAAACACAATAAAATTTGGATAGAGAGACCAAGAATAATGACTCTTAAAAGTTGTTTTATATATATACCCTAATTATGTCATGGATGGCATGATAAATTGTAAAATTTGCACACACAAAGGCCGTACAAATTGGGTGGAAAAACTTCACCTTATTTTATGGCCAAAAGAAGATTTCCCACCCGCTGAGCAAACCGAAAACGGAAAATGCGAAACTTGAGGCCAAACTGCAAATTGTTGCTGCTAATTGCCAGCAATTCACTTGCCTGAAAGTTGAGATACAAGCCGACACAACTTCCCTCTCTCCTTTCCCAGTCTCTATATCAACTTTCCTTCCCGTTTTCCTTATCTCATACCTCTCCTTAGTTTCCCAACACAATAGCATAAATTTACGCTGGTTTTCCGCCATTGTTCGTCTCGACACGACCAAAAAAAAAGAACTATTTTTCGACAATGAAATCATTTAGGAAGTGTCGGCTGCCTTGGCGCTGGCTTAAGTTATTGCCTCAACCTCGGCGCTCTTTGATAAATTATTCGCCCACTTTCTCGTTATTATAGCCTCTGACTCGTCCTTTATCCTGTGACTCCTCCTTATTGGGTAGCTAGGCAACAGTTGAAACACAAAACGAAGGCAATTTTTGCCTGGCCATCACTTGTTTAATTATGGAAAAGCCTTATCCCACAAAAAGTGCTTGAGAAAAATGTACTTTAATGGGTCCTTATTATTGTACGATTAGAAATCAAGGAAATACAAGAAATATATATGAATTTTTTTATTAGGAAATGTATTTTTGGCACTCTAACTTGAAGATATTAATTTCTAAAGATAAAAACTCTTTCACTTTAAAGAGAAAATAAAGATATACAAAGTTTAAAATGGAAAACATTTTCTATACTCTATTTCAAAGGATATTCACATCAGTGAATTTCAAATAGATTCAAGGCTCCATAGAAACTCCATTGGCATTTCTTTTTATAGAAATTTCTATATATTATTTTCTCTCTTTTGTATAATGAAAATTCTTGTTAAAAATATGCTGAATGTGCCAAAAACTTACCAGAAAAAGAACTCCAGGCTGAGTAAAAGTTAACCGAATTAAAGCGAAAGTTAATGTTCTGCGTATTCCCTCACACATCAGCTATTTTTATATATCAGAGGAATTTTCATTACGCATGCAAATTATTTTATTAAAGTTCCATTGAAAAGAAAAAAAGGAAAATATATATAAGAACGAGTTAAGTTACAATAAAAAAAGTATTCGATAAACTTTTTCAACGCGCTGCATTCGAATGCCCTGGGGAAATTAACATAATTTTGCATACATTTTTATCGGGCAAAAGCAGCGAAAAGAAAGTTGAAAAAGAAAAGAAATGGTTAACCCATAACCCATGCTGGCAGAGGGATCTCTTCGAGGCGAAATTGCCACGTAGTCTTAATCTAAACTGCTGATATACATCGTCCGGAATATGTAACAAGTTAAAGGCAAACAACAGGCGACAATACCCGCTCCCAGAGCTTTTCCAAACATCCCAGCCCGCCATTTGAGCCTCGTCCCTTGAGCGTGGCTCAGAACACAGGACGAATACTGAAGCTCATGTAAAGGATGTGAAGAAAAAAACAAAGGATTTTTAGAAAATCGTTGCGATTAGAAAATACCATAGGTTTGAATTTTGTGGAATTTATTTATAGAAGTAAATAAGTTCTAGCATTAAAAGTAATAATTTGATATAGAATTTGCAATTGTTCTTGAAAAACTCTATTAGGGAGGTCTTAGAAGCTATTTACGTTAGTCTTACTTAAGCTTCAGGACATTCAGAGTTATATTTTCCTAATTAAGACTTATAAATCTTACTTCTCTTCATAAAATCCAAAGGCAAAACACCTCGAAAATACAGGGTATGACAAGTAAAAAACGAAAGGAAGTAAAAAACGGTTTGCAAACGTCGCCATTTGCATAACAAATACAGTCAGTAACTGAATCAACACACACACACACATACACCCACTGAAAGGACAGCCATCTAGACCCCGTGTGTCCTTGCAGCCATTAAAAATGCCAGCATATGTGGGGTGGCTGGGTAAGGGTTAACAAGTGCAGTCAGTGGGTTAAAAACAGGAGCCAAGCGCCAAGTAAGGTCTGTCCTTTGTGCATGACTGACTTAGAGACTGAGAGACTGAGTGACTGAGTGACTGAGAAACTGTGTGACTGACTACCTGACCAACTGGCTGACTGATCCATAAATGTTTGCCGGAGCCAAAGAAAACGCAAACAAGAAAACAAACAAACACAAAAGAAAATGCGAATGAAAAACTTTCTCTCAACAGTTGAATGAAAGCGAAATGAAAAATATATATTCCTTTATGCTCAGAAATTGCCTTAGGTGGAATATACCTGAAAGGGAATTTCCAGTCTGACAGGATAGCAAAATAATTTAAGGTTTTGCACCAACAGAATTTAAACATTAATAAATTAAAATAGTTGTATCCGAGAAATAAGATTAAAATGCATTATCCTTTTAAATCCATTTAAATCGTCTCAATTGTATTCTGCAAAAAAAAAGGATATTTACTTTACTATTCATTACAAACTGTGTTTTATTGATTTCTTTAAACTTTTAATGCGTGTTGTTTTCTGGTTCTATGCAAATGAGATTTTTTATTGTCCTATAAATAGTTAAAGGACTCCAGCGTTGTCCATATCTCCAAGGACCTTCTGCCCTTCAAAATAAGCCCTTTAATAATTTATTCGAGAGTAGGGGAGGAATTTCATATGCACGCGTGCGTTGGAAAAGGCGAAAGTTGCTCTGATGAGCAACCAAAGTTCACTATTAATATTAATGCCTAGGAAATTGTCAGACGTCAGCAATAAAATATTAATTAACGCCTTATTAAATATGTTTACAACAGCTATTTCAATTACAATGGCTTGTAAGTGAAATGTATTGTTCGCGTATTGATTCCCACATTGTTTGCTTGTCTGCTTAATGAACAAAATTAATTTAAATCCGTATAAATTATGAATGCAAATGCATTAAGCTGTCTGTAATCAGGGCCATCCGAAGTTTATTAATTACTTTTTTTCGCTGGGTCATATCACTCAAACGAAACTTTATTTAATTGCATACGTTAAAAGTAATAATGTGTGTTTTATTAATTGCAGCCAAGAGGCCGCCGGTGGAGGAGACTGCATCCTTCCTTCAGAGCCTGATCGCCTCCCACGGACCCAATTACCTGGAGAAGCTGTTCGGTAGCAAGGCACGTGACGCCCTCTCACCCCTGGGCGGAGTGGACAAGGTCGCCATCGCTCTGAGCGAGTCGCAAACGATTGAGGACTTCGGCGCTGCCCTCCATCTAATGAGGTGAGTGCCCCAAACCATCCACTTTCACTGCATCACAAGCTGTGGCAAAATGTGTGCACTGGGGGAAAAATGTTAAATAATATAAAAATATTATAATAATTATATACAAATAATATCATAATAATAATTATAATAAAATAATAACATACTATTATAATAATATTTAATATTATTAGTATACTAATTAGTCTATACGAAAATTTCATATTTCTATTTAATTTTTTTATGGACTACGTGTGCAGATTTATAAGAACATGCTGTATTTCTAATAATAATGATAATAAAAGCTTAATAATAATATAGCTGAAATTTGTCTAGATTTATATTATATATATATTTATATATTTTTTATTGCACATGTAAATATAAATATTGAATAATCAAAATTTTATTACTTTAAGATCATAAATTCTTAGTTAATACTTTTGTAATATTTAAACCTTTTTACAGATCAAAAACCTTTAGTAATATAATTTATAATATTAAAACCTTACTCTGCTAATTTAATATAATTAAATATTGTATTCATATATTTAGTTTAAAGTCTGCTCTCTCAGTATACATACATTTTCTCTGAGTGCATTGCTCTGGGGTGCAATTTATGTGCTTGGGTTGGTTCTTTGGCTGCCACAAAATCCTAAAGAGAAATTATTTCCCCTTTTTTTTGTCAACTGCTTTTCGTGCAGAAAACATAATTTTAATCCAGGTTCTAGGTTTATATAAATAATGAAAGCTCTTTAAGAACCAACTTGGCATTGCTCCGGGCTATTTTCACATTGTAGGGGAAAATCCTTTTATTCGGGAAAAACTATAAAAAGGGGGGAAAGTCCAGAGGCAAGCCGGTTCCTTTTTAACTCACCCTTTCTCTCGCCCAGGACCTTTGTCCTTGTCCTTGTCCCTTGAATTATCTCTGAATCTGCTTATGTGTGTGCGTGTGTATTTCTGTATTTGTGTGTGCTTTTCGAGTCCTTTTCTCTGCACAGCTATTTTAGTAGCTGCAGGAACAATAACATTTGCTGCTCAAGGGTTCAAGGCAACCGCACACAAACAAACGTGTGTGTGTCATGAAATTTTAAAATATTTCATTCATATTTATCATATTTCCCTACTTTTTTGGCTTTATTTTATGAACAGCATCTTTATGGGCTTCTGGTGCTCCTTTTGCATAATATTTGTTTTGCTCGTCCTAAGTAAACGAAAATATTTCTCTCTGCTTAATGAATTAAATTATTAAATGGAAAGGACATAAATGGAAACTTTAGGGACATGATTTAATAGCAAGCACATATAATAAAACTGTGTATTTAGGGTTAGTTTAAGAAGATTTTATTATTTGTGTACAAAAAAATCAACTACTTTATTAGCACAAAAAATTTGAAGTATTTCTTTGCTTAGCTAAATTATCATAAATCACCATTATTAAACAATAATCCCTAAGGCTTATCCTTTCGATAAGGTTTTCCCAGACACATACACATACGTTTTCCCAAGCTGCCTTAATTGCATTACTCCCTCTCCATGGCAGCCTCCAGGCGGCCTTCGCCGGCAACTTGCTCATGCTACAATTTCCAAGATAAACAAAGGCACAAAATTAATTAACAAAAATAACAACAAGCTAACTGAACACAGACGAGGGAGATGGCCAAATATAAACACACACACACCTACACACGAAATAACATGAAAGAAAAATTTTCATTAAATTAGTACAACAAAAACTAACCACAATAATGGAGCCGCAAGGTGAGAGGTTGGAGTGGCAATAATAATAATCATAAAATTGTGGGCCATGCAGGCACAGGATCTCAACATGCGGGACAGACAAAGGACACGAAAATATTTGCCTTCACGCACATGTTGATAAATTAGCAAAACACCCAAAAAGGAACAAAAAAAAAAAGAAGAAGTTCCAGGGAAATGGGGGTCAGGAGAAAATGTGAGAGGGCGCTGTTTGTCTGGCTGAGCTGGAAATTTACACAATTTCATCAAGGCAATTAATCGCCCAAGTGTCATAATGTCATTCTACCCGGCTCAAGACTCTATTCGAGCGACGGGAGACGGGTCGGAATTGAATGGATGTACTCGAACCACAAGACACGCACAAATGTTATTAATGTGTATTTTGCACTCTTGTTTTTCCAACCCAACTAAACAGAGAGAAAAATTGCAGAATTTTCAGTGTAATTAAAAGTTTTTTCCTTCTCATAATATATATGTTTTGTATACAGAATGAATCCTGCGGACCGTCTAACTTGAATTTCAAAGATTTATATTTTATCTATTAGCAAGTCTTGAAGTTGGATTAAGTATTTAACTGGCAGTTTTTTTAATATAATTTAAATGTGATGGTTATGGGTATCCCTGTGACTATTTCTCGTTAAGCTGATTTGGCAAATAGACCATTTCTGGGGCTAACATAAATAGGGATCTGATCTGAACTCTCTGTCAAGTCTTTTTCGGGTCCGGCAAAATTAAAGATGATTTCATAAGATCAAGAATAAAATATAATCAAAACAGTAGAAGTGCTAATACTTTTTTAGCGAAATCAGTTTTAACCTATGATTTGTTTTTTCGTTAACATAAATTACATTTTTGACAGGTCGATTATAATATTTAACAAGTTAAGCAGTTTTTCACCTTTTCGAAGAAATGCTTTTTGTGGAGCTTAGAAGAAACATCCCTAATGTTTTTTATTTATTGTATAATTTATTATATACCTGATGTAATTCAAGATTTTTTATTTAATCTGCTATAGTAAACACTTCTTTTTTTCTGCGCACCTTTGCTTTCAGTTTTTCCCACTCACTTTACTAATTATGCTGATGATAATGAAGTTTATCTAGCAGCCGCAACAAGCTGAAAAATATATATGGGCACGGGTAAAGAGCAAAGTTGGGCGGTTTGGGGTCAAAGGACACCCCGGGATACAAGCCGCAGGAACAATAGCAAAAGCAACAACCCCACGTTACCTGCAGGGATTAATTAAGCAAAGCGTATAATTTGAGTCTCACCGCAGCAAAGCAACAACTTGTCCCAGGGTGTGTGTGTGTGCCAATGTGGGTTTGGTGTGTTAAAGGAGCTTTTGGCTTATTTTTTGAGTTAACAGTGGGTTATATAATGATGAAATTAAGTTTAAAGATAAGAAAAATAACTTAAAAAACAGTATATATACTTAATTGAAAATATTTATTTGAATGTAAAAATGTATTATACTTTAAACATATATTTATTTCTTTAATGGTGGTAATATATAATAAATAATGGTGGATAAATAATATTTAAATTAAATAAATAAGTATGCAAAATAACTTAAGAAACAGTATTTACTGTAGTGTATATAATTACTCTATTATATATATTTTTTTTATAATTTAAACATATAGTTCTTTAAGTTATATGGATAGAAAGCGCACTTAAAATTCCCAAGTACAAATTCAACTACACTTCTTTTCATAACCACACTAAATTTTGAGAGAGATCCTAAACAAAACTATTAGATGAAATATGTTTCTTTGCGAGTAAATTAAATGATTTTATTTTATAAGCTTGCTGTTTGCCTTGGACCAAATATATATAGTTTTATATTAAATTATATTAAATATTATATTATTTATATATATGTATAAATTAATTAAAGTCTTAAATATTATAATATATAAATTACCACTGTTTACTGGCTATTTTCCTCCACGGAACTATTGCCAGCTTAAAGCCACTTTGAACCCCAAGTCTTTCCAGCTCTTTGCACTTTCCTGGGGCTTTAGTCATTTGGCAAAGGAAAACTTTATTAAAGTTTGGCCATTACTCACAGAACAAACCTGAAAATGAAATCCAACTAATTCCGTCTTATTTTTCTGCATCTTATTTCACAGATCGGACTTGGAACACTTGCGCTCGGTTTTCATGGCTGTGGAGAACGGGGATCTCGGGATGTTAAAGTCATTGGGAATCAAGGACTCGGAACTGGGCGATGTGAAGTTCTTCTTGGAGAAGCTGGTCAATACCGGCTTCCTCGACTGAGTAGCGCCAGATCCGGCTTCTGGATTTTATTACGCACACGCACAACCCATCAATCCTAATTTCTATTCGTATTTGGGCACGCCCTATGATAATTATAATTATTAAATGCGAATCTCACCAACAGACAGACACACACCACACACGTATCTACACTCATCGTTCCGTTACAGAAAACACACATTACACCCATTTCCAATCATTTCAGCCAGAAGATATTTTCTCAAACTCTATTTTTGAGTATAATTTAACCTTTTTGCTTTCGAAAACCTCTTATTAAATATTTATTTATTTTATTTTCTGTTTCCAAAAAAACACTTTTATAAAAACAAAATCATGCTAACAAAACTGAAAAAAAAAATTGCAAAACACAACAAAAAGCTACAAAAAAAATATATAGACGCGAAGAGAACATAAATATGAAAGAAACCCAAAATTTCGATCACAAATCGGCTTCTCTACATCAAAAAAAATATATATAGAAATATCTCAAGCTTTCTCCCAACTTTCTGCGCTCTTTCTTAAACTTTCTTTATGCGTTGCGTTCCTATCGCGATCTATATTTATTTTGAGAAAATCAATGCGCAAATTTCAGAACATTGCAAAAACTTCATAAGAAAAAATGAAATAATAAAATGTGGAAGCAGGATCGTTTGGCAAAATACAAAAAGATAAGAAAAAATAAAAACAAAAATGAAAAAAAATGAACAAATTTATCAATGTTTATATAAAAAACTTTTTTCTGAAGCATATATATGTATACAGATATTAAACAATTTTTATTGATGTATATGTAAAGTGTTTCAAGGCTTCTTAGATCCGTCACTTATGGTATTCACAACAAAAGTCCCTAAAAAATTAATGCAGAACCGCAACCGAGGCTATCAGTAAAGAACCTTCCAACAATTTTCTTATGTACTAACCCTAAGTACTCTTTATCTCCTTTCGATATCCGTCTATGAATTGTATATTACAAAATATTACATTTGTTTATGTTTTTTTGTGAGTAAAATAAGCAAGAGCCCTGCAGGCTGCAGCTATTTATCTTTCCAGTAGAACCAAAAATGTTTAGTAAAAAAATAAAAATAATAAGTAAAAAATGAATAAACTAGATGCACAATATCACAGGTTCCCTGTCGAGCTACTGTGCAGGATATGAAAATGGCTCTGAGTTGCATAATTCACGAAATGTTTTGAATGTCTAAGCGAAAATATCTATCTCGATCATTCAGAGGGATTTCAAATACACACATATATATATATATATATTCCAAGGAATAATTATAAAGCCTAACCTTAATTTGAATATAATACACACAAACTTACTCAACTCTCAAAATATATATATATATTTCTTAGAAAGAAAGAACGAAATAAAAACACACACAAAAGCAAGTTGTAACCAAAATGAGATTCTTACGTTTTGAGGGCCAGTTTTAAAATTGCCAAAGAACTAAAACTGACCCAAACAATTTGGAATAACATCTAAGCAAACCCAAAAATTGGCCCTCAAAACACAAAAACACATCTTACTATTAGCGAGTCTAAGTCTCTAATTCAAACAATTATCAAATGGAGCACGGAATTGTTGAGCAGATAGCGTGACAAGTAACTAAACGAGGAAAAGTGAAAACCCAACGTTGAAGGAAAATTCTTAAAATTAAACCAAAAATTTAATGGAGTTATAAGTACCTTGAATTAGCTGATAGATCATACAACAACTACAGCAAACACGTAAACTACAATTATTTATTTAGAAGAAAAAAAACGAACAAAAAAAGAAAGAAAAACTTTTTATCTATATAGTTGTCTATTTAAAATATATTTATGAATAAATGTTTAAAGAAACTAAAACAAGTCAAGAGTAATATTAAATGAATGATAATGAAAAGAAACTGATCCATTGAACTATATATAATGTATATGTATCTGACGAGTAGGAGAGGATGTGAGGAACGCCCAGTGTAAATAAGGAGAAGAAACTACGAATTCCATAATCGATGCAAATGAATAAGGATAAACCCAAAAAATATTACAACAAACAACAAAGTGATAATTGGTTTTATTTTTGGGTTCCACAAACAGTTATTTGAGATACTTTAAATATCAAAAAAACATTTAAAAAACGAACAAAAAAAATGTCCCTTTCTTTGTGAATATTTTTTAAAAATATTATATACAAAAACCTATATACAAAGCATGAACATTTTTTAATCTTAAGCCACTGAACTTATATCGCATACATATCAGCAGAACTCTTGTTAAATAAGGAGGAAAATCTGCAAAAAAAAAGATACAAGAACACGAGAATCTATCAAATACAAAATATATGCAACATATCAATTACCAAAACAAAAAACATATCAAATATGAAGCGCGAAAAGAAAGTTGAAATCAAAGAGAACCCACTCTAGTAAAGTTAAGCGAATTATATAAATATATATTTATGAGAAAACACACTAAAGGAAATTTTAAAAAACGTTTTACAAATCCTATTTATCATAACTATTTATTTATGTTTCAGTTTAAATTATTCCAACTTGTTACTTGTTTCAGGGTTTTAATACCAAAACTGACCCATTGAACCATTAAAATGCTGAAACAATTTAACAATAAGAAACCTTCAAATATTACGAATACAAAACAAAAATGCTTGGTCATATTAAACTTTTTTATTTTAAAATATTATTTTTAAAATGACCCCCGTTCCCATTTAAGTTGCTATACAAAATAGAGAAAGAACGTAAGAAAACTATCAAAACCACCAGAACAAAATACACAAGAAATAGTTGAACTATATATTTAAATAAAAACTAGTAAACGAAACATATCAGTTACCTAAATCGTAGCAGACAAAATACTCCAGCAAACAAGAGACAAATATCTCTTCAAAAATCATACAAAAAAATACTATACAAAATTATATGCAATACATTTAATGTTTGAATTAAATACAGATGAACAAATTCGAGTTTTATGATGAAAAATCACACGAGAAACGAAAAACAAAAAAAAACTAAATCTATGTGTAAATGAAATTACAATTAGAATTGCAAAATAACCCATAGAAACAAGAGATGAAAACTAAATTAAATACAATTTTTAACATTCCAATGATGCTATTTCTTTGGTGTGCTGTTTTAAAAACAATTTAATGTGTGCTTTAATGGGTGGGGAAATGGAGTTTTGTAAGGTCATAGGAGGTAAGGTAAGGTTTTATATTTCATTGAGGAAATCATTTTAATTTAATTTGTAGGTGGTATTTATAATTTATTAGATCCTTAACTGAACAATTTTTAATGCATACATATCAGTCTAATGACTTCATTAATTAAAGGAATTCCAGACGGACGACAGTTGTGAGCTATCTCAAAGCTAGTTCTACCTGAGCGATAAGATATATGTGTGTCTCTCCCTCGCACTCGCACCTAGAAAGAACTTCCCCCTAATTACTTTCGCTGCGAGAGAGTGAGAGCGGAGATAGCTCATGCTCTCAGTGGAAATAAAAGCGTATATTTTTATACCCTATATTCTTAAAATTGAGAAGAATGGTATCAGGTCTTATATATATAAAATTTAATCTTTATCATGAAACTTTAATTTTTTTAAACTTTGTTTAGATATAAACGGAATAAGGATAAATAATAATAAGTTCAGGAATTAATTTAATTGTCTCAAAATTGATTTCTTACTAGTAATACATGAAAAATAGAAATGGCAGATTTATCAAAGAAACTACATTTTAAACGACAGTTAATAAGTTCTTTAAAGAAATGTTTTCCTTATGAGATGTATCGACTTATTTATGATCAATTTATAGTTCTTATAGTTACTTATAGGTTTTCTAATTACCATTTTATTATTTATTTATATTTTTTAAACATATCTCTTTTGCCTAATCACTTTTATATAATTTCTGTAAGTAATTAAATTTGTACGAGGTATCCCCTAGTTGATAGTATCTTTTCTAGACTTCCTACTTGTTATACTACTTTAAATTCTAATCAGCCTTTAGATTTGTTTGTTGTTTTTGATAGCCTCCGTAGTATTTGCTCTTGATTAGCTGAGAACGGGGAGCGTCGGCGAAAACTCCAGGCTCACCTTAGTCGTGTTTAAATCGAAAGCGCATGCGGTTGTCGGTGCTATCAGTTTTCGAGCCTCCATTATCGGTGCTAGCTTAAGGTGTCATTAAATCTCTCAAGTGTTACGGTTTAACTAATATTGCAGATTGCATTTTATGTATTAAAATTATATTCTGCAATATACTTATATTTGGAAAATATATAGAAGTCAGTGAATATTTATTGCTGCCTAAGAGTATGCAACAGTGTCAAGTGTAATCTTGTGATCTAATCAATTCAATATAAATTTCGATCGAAAATAATGCATGATCCCAGCGATTATGATTCCGTGTACAGTGAGGAGGATTTTCTGGACACAGTCCGTGGAGCTGAGACTCCTCCGTTGATGAACTACGAGGAATTCCGGGTGAAGACGATGGGTAAGAGTCTGGTTTTTTCTGTGCACGCCATGGCCGAATTATTTCTGTCTTATCTTTTGTGTTTGTTATGGGCTTTAAAATGCGAACCCATTTTTGATATGAGCCTCTTGATAAAGTGTCTCTGGGGGCGGTACTTTTTGCATATACGGGAAAAGAAAATTGAATATGGAATGGATATAGAAGGTGTATACTTAATTTATTATTGGAAATTTCTTGAAAGAAATACATGTATTATTAAAAAAATGCAAATTTGTTAACGCCTATTTTAAGAAGTACGAAATATAGGTAGCTTAAAATATATAGTGCTACAAAAGAATTTAAAAAAAATAATCGTGTACCAATTTTGCGATATAAAAAATTAGAACTGTTTATAAAAATACACATATTTTAAAAAAAGTTTTTTAATATTTCGGCACCAGCTAAAAATTTTAAGGGAGTATTGTTATATGGGCAATTCTCTGGTGTCGAATGCGACATTCGTACGCATTCAAACTAAAAAAACACATGTGCCAAGACTTTATTTTAATTTTATAAAAATTGAAACGTATAGCATTGGTTAGCACTATAATTGGTGCTAAGGTCGATTTTGAACCCTTGTTTGTTTTCAAGATATTCACTAAAATGTACTGCGTTCGCACGCGACAAAAATAGAAGTTACATTTGCAAAAAACAAGTTTAAGCTCTGATTTCAGCGAAACGTGATGAAAAATTGTAGTAAAATAAATTTTAATGAATTACGCAATGAATTCTCTTCATAATTTGTTTTGTTTGATTTTAAAATATTAAGTAGTTATTTTTTAAA